TATTGTTAGAACGTCTACATACTGGTATAGTGTGAAGGTCTATTGTTAGAACTGGTATAGTGTGAAGGTCTATTGTTAGGACGTCGACATACTGGTATAGTGTGAAGGTCTATTGTTAGAACGTCTACATACTGGTATAGTGTGTAGATCTTTATGGAATGTTTACGTGAGTATTTTGTCTGACTTCCTATAAATGGTTCTGCTAACACTGTATTGGGATGGTTGAGTTGCCTTTTTAATCTTATTTAGAGTTTCCGTTGAGGGGAAATAGATCGGTAGAAGGAATATCCATTATTTCCCAGACTACAATAACAATGGTATTGGGACCCTAGATAAGTGGTACTACACACAACAATGTGTATATATTTCATTCAATAGTTAAGCAAAATGTTTCGGGAGATGCAGGCTGCTGATAAAGATTGTAAGGACGTTCCACAGGCATCATGATGAATTCGTTGAGAAATGGTCTATTTCTTTGTGCAATATGAATCTGGACGTGTTTAATGCTCGTAAGTTTGCCTGTTGTTGTATACTTTGTTCTCATTTGAGAACGTGACATTACTTACTTGGATTGACCTAGTTTACCTGTCGGGTGCTGTCGACGCAGACGCTTGCTCTTCCGGAACACATGGACTTATTCTCCTAAAATTTGTTCAGGGGTCTCGATGAAAATTTATCTTTTGTTCATATTTTGACAAAGTTTTATGGAATTCGTGTTTAAATTTCGATTCCGGTGAAATGTCTGTATTTTATTTAGAAATGATGATTGTCGGCGTATGCGAAAATGAAGGCATGATTATCCGAACCAGAACGATTCTACAAAACACACAGAATTGAATAGCAACAATACAAATATAGAATCAACACAGAACAGCCAAATGGTTGTGTAATCATCACTGTTCAATTCAATAATTTAGAACAAGCAGTTTCACGTGAAGATTACAGATTTTTTTATTTTAGATATCTCGACGATAATCGACTTGGTGTTTATAGCTGTGTGTTTCAGAGAGAAATAAGCACCTTAAATCAATTCGCTATGTTTAGTTTGCAAATCGAGAAATCATAATCTTTATATTGCCTTTACAAGATTCTCTCATGTCCAATTCTAACAGTAACCAGGTCTTAATACTTGTTTGTTAGAACGTCTACATACGGGTATAGTGTGTAGGTCTATTGTTAGGACGTCTACATACTGGTATAGTCTGTAGATCTATTGTTAGAACGTCTACGTACTGGTAAAGTGTGTAGGTCTATTGTTAGAACTGGTATAGTGTGTAGGTCTATTGTTAGAACGTCTACGTACTGGTAAAGTGTGTAGGTCTATTGTTAGAACTGGTATAGTGTTTAGGTCTATTGTTAGAACGTCTACATACTGGTATAGTGTGTAGGTCTATTGTTAGAACTGGTTTAGTGTGAAGGTCTATTGTTAGAACGTCTACATACTGGTATAGTGTGTAGGTCTATTGTTAGAACATACTGGTATAGTCTGTAGATCTATTGTTAGAACGTCTACATACTAGTATAGTGTGTAGGTCTATTGTTAGAACGTCTACATACTGGTATAGTGTGTAGGTCTATTGTTAGAACGTCTACATACCGGTATAGTGTGTAGGTCTATTGTTAGAACGTCTACATACCGGTATAGTGTGTAGGTCTATTGTTAGAACGTCTACATACCGGTATAGTGTGTGTCTATTGTGTGTACGTCTACATACCGGTATAGTGTGTAGGTCTATTGTTAGAACGTCTACATACTGGTATAGTGTGTATAGTGTGTAGGTCTATTGTTAGAACGTCTACATACCGGTATAGTGTGTAGGTCTATTGTTAGAACGTCTACATACCGGTATAGTGTGTAGGTCTATTGTTAGAACGTCTACATACCGGTATAGTGTGTAGGTCTATTGTTAGAACTGATATAGAGTGTAGGTCTATTGTTAGAAGGTCTACATACCGGTATAGTGTGTAGGTCTATTGTTAGAAGGTCTACATACCGGTATAGTGTGTAGGTCTATTGTTAGATTGTCTACACACGGGTATAGTGTGTAGGTCTATTGTTAGAACGTCTACATACCGGTATAGTGTGTAGGTCTATTGTTATATTGTTAGAACTGGTATAGTGTGTAGGTCTATTGTTAGGACGTCTACATACTGGTATAGTGTGTAGGTCTATTGTTAGAACTGGTATAGTGTGTAGGTCTATTGTTGTTACATACTGGTATAGTGTGTAGGTCTACATACTGGTATAGTGTGTAGGCCTATTGTTAGAACGTCTACGTACTGGTAAAGTGTGTATGTCTATTGTTATTACTGGTATAGTGTGTAGGTCTATTGTTAGTGTGTAGGTCTATTGTCTACATACTGGTATAGTGTGTAGGTCTATTGTTAGAACTGGTATAGTGTGTAGGTCTATTGTTAGAACGTCTACATACTGGTATAGTGTGTAGGTCTATTGTTAGTGTGTAGGTCTATTGTTAGAACGTCTACATACTGGTATACATACTGGTATAGTGTGTAGGTCTATTGTTAGAACGTCTACATACTGGTATAGTGTGTAGTCTATTGTCTACATACCGGTATAGTGTGTATCTATTGTTAGAACGTCTACATACTGGTATAGTGTGTAGGTCTATTGTTAGAACGTCTACATACTGGTATAGTGTGTAGGTCTATTGTTAGAACGTCTACATACCGGTATAGTGTGTAGGTCTATTGTTAGAACGTCTACATACTGGTATAGTGTGTAGGTCTATTGTTAGAACGTCTACATACCGGTATAGTGTGTAGGTCTATTGTTAGAACGTCTACATACCGGTATAGTGTGTAGGTCTATTGTTAGAACGTCTACATACTGGTATAGTGTGTAGGTCTATTGTTAGAACGTCTACATACCGGTATAGTGTGTAGGTCTATTGTTAGAACGTCTACATACCGGTATAGTGTGTAGGTCTATTGTTAGAACGTCTACATACCGGTATAGTGTGTAGGTCTATTGTTAGATAGTGTGTAGGTCTATTGTTACATACCGGTATAGTGTGTAGGTCTATTGTTAGAACGATGGTATAGTGTGTAGGTCTATTGTTAGAATGATATACTGGTATAGTGTGTAGGTCTATAGAACTGGTATAGTGTGTAGGTCTATTGTTACTGGTAAGTGTGTGTCTACATACTGGTATAGTGTGTAGGTCTATTGTTAGAACTGATATAGAGTGTAGGTCTATTGTTAGAATGTCTACATACTGGTAAAGTGTGTAGGTCTATTAATAGAATATCTACATACTGGTATAGTGTGTAGGTCTATTGTTAGAACGTCTACATACTGGTATAGTGTGTAGGTCTTTAAGGAATTTATAAGTGAATATTTTGTCTGACTCCATATAAATTATTCTGCTAACACTGCAGTGTTCAGTTGACTTTGTCATGCTATTAAAATTTTTTATTTTATTCGTTGAAATGTTGCTATATCAGACCTCTGATATCACGTGTTCGCTCTATCAACTACAAAGGAGATACATTACGTACCGGACACAGTCTCTTGATGTCTATAGGCAAGATCAAGACTCCCAGGGTTACCACTTATACTCTTGTGAGGCGAGAGTGACGCGTACAATGTTTACATATGACTGGGGATGATACTGAAGCACATTTTGTAAAAAGGTACTTCTAGAACCAAGAAAAATATACTGAGGATGACATCGTCAGAATGTTCGAATTTCTAACTGACAACTGTTCCTGTGGACATAAACCGTGCGCCTCTCTTGGGTGACTTGTTTCAAACAAGACTGAATTAACAAAACAGACCACAAAGACCTTGCAACGTTCTGAACAAAACAGACCACAATGACCTTGCAACGTTCTGAACAAAACAGACCACAATGACCTTGCAAAGTCTTTAACAAAACAGGTCACAGAGACCTTATGAAGTCCTTTTGAAACATAAAAAATTAAATAAAACGAAAGTTGTTGACACCGTCCATTGTATATACTAAATGATTTTGGAAATTAAGGACACAACAGACGCTTTAACGCCTATGAATCCTACAGGGACATCTTTCCACAAAGCTCGAGGATGATTTTGAATTTTCTTTCGTGAATTTTTCATTTCTCGACAATAGCATGAATATTTTACCAAAACCTTCGGAGTTAACATGTAACGAACAACACAGGTTGATAAAGTTAATGAGCAGATTTCTTGACATACCTTCTCCTGGTGTGATATAAAATTTAATACATTCGATGCTCGATAGTACCTACGTTCATGGTGTTGTTGTTGAACGTGTTGTCGTTTGTGACGTCTCATAACATGTGTCTTCAGTGAAGCAGAAGATACTTACTTTTTTCCGGAACATCCGGTCTTATTCTCCTTATATGATGGATGATTGATAAGTTGTGAGCATCATATCTAAGTCCACCACTGCATGTATGAAGTCATCAGCTGACCCAAAGTGAGTACCGGAAATTTTTTTTTTTTTCAATTTTAGAAAAAGATGTAAATCTGATGGAGCGAGATCAGGCGAATAAAGCGGATGCTTAATTAATTCAAAGCAACAATCAGTAATGGCAGCCACGACAATGACAGACTTGTTAACAGACGCATTGTCCTGGTGGAACAACACACTTTTTCCGTGGCAATTGAATTTGTTATTTTTTCTTAGCTGCCTAAGAAGTGATGCATTGATTGTTTGTTCCCTTTTGCAGATTATCTAGTCTTCGGGTACAGAGCTTTAAATAGTAAGGCACAAGTAGAGGCGAAAAGGACATCCCTGCTTAACTTTGTCAATACAAGGCGCACAACTTATCAATCAGCCATTCAAGTGTCTCCGTGAATAAATCCTTCTTTTGTTTATAATTTGCCCTCGTGTCATCAATGGTTTGTGAACAAGGAATTCAGAATTCATTTATACATTAAGCTATATGCCAAAGTGTATCTCGTTCTTTTCTACAAATAAGCACGTATAGGAAACCTGCGTTGTGATTTCATCATAAACTATCATAAATTATCAGAAACACATGTGATGACTATTATATGGATAGGGTGCTGGTATTTTCTTAGCTGTAAACCTGACAGGTTTCTGGGGATAATAACACTGATCAGCCTTTTCTGCTGGTGTCGAGACATTAGCTTTATCTGTTGGTGTCGAGACATTAGCTTTATCTGTTGGTGTCGAGACATAAGCTTTATCTGCTGGTGTCGAGACATTAGCTTTATCTGCTGGTGTCGAGACATAAGCTTTATCTGTTGGTGTCGTAACATTAGCTTTTTCTAATGCCGATACACTAACGAATTCTGTTGGTGCCGATACACTCACGTTTTTTGTTGGTGCCGATACACTCACGAATTCTGTCGGTGCCGATACACTCACGGATTCTGTTGGTGCCGATACTCTCACGTTTTCTGTCGGTGCCGATACACTAACGAATTCTGTTGGTACCGATACACTCACGTTTTCTGTCGGTGCCGATACACTCACGATTTCTGTTGGTGCCGATACAATAACGAATTCTGTTGGTGCCGATACACTAACGTTTTCTAATGTTGCCGATACACTAACGAATTCTGTTGGTGCCGATACACTCACGTTTTTTGTTGGTGCCGATACACTCACGAATTCTGTTGGTGCCGATACTCTCACGTTTTCTGTCGGTGCCGATACACTAACGAATTCTGTTGGTGCCGATATACTCACGTTTTCTGTCGGTGCCGATACACTCACGATTTCTGTTGGTGCCGATACAATAACGAATTCTGTTGGTGCCGATACACTAACGTTTTCTAATGTTGCCGATACAATAACGAATTCTGTTCGTGACGATACACTAACGTTTTTAGTTGGTGCCGATACAATAACGAATTCTGTTGGTGTCGATACACTAACGTTTTCTAATGGTGACGATACACTCACGTTTTCTGTTGGTGCCGATACACTAACGAATTCTGTCGGTGACGAAACACTGATGTTTTCTGTTGGTGCCGATACATTACTCAATGCGGCTATGATATAACAGTACAAATCTAAGGAGGACATAGTACATCTTCTTGTCACATTCGAAAGCTCCAACCAATTGCTTATGTGGATTCCAAGTTACAGTAACCGTGGAAACCTATCAATAGGAGTTTTTTAACGGTGGGAATTTTAGAACAGCAGCCAGACTTGTTTATTGAGAGAAAAAAAAACGGCACGTCAAATGAATCTCGGCGACCTAATCTAGGCGGGGATAACGTGTTAAAGAGAAAATACAATTAGATTGTTTGTGCTACGAGCTGGGTGTTCCTGTAGGGCGAGGTCACGGCAGTACATTGTGTTACACTAGTTCGTAAGATTAATTTTTTGCCACTTATCTTGATGGATTTTGTTGTGGTATATATATAAAACAACTTCCCCTACAAAATTCATTGTACGATAAACACATAGTATAAATGGTAACAGGACAACTGTCGCTTCTCATAGTGTCTTGTCGGTAGTGTTTCCCGAATTAACTATCCCCCATATAGATGTTGTGAAATATGCTTTAAATGAATTGGATAATATATATAGAGAGAGAGTGGGGTGGAGGTACGGAGGGACCGAGATAGAGAGAGAGAGGGGGGAGGGGGAAGGAAGGAGGGAGAGAGAGAGAGAGAGAGAGAGAGAGAGAGAGAGAGAGAGAGAGAGAGAGAGAGAGAGAGAGAGAGAGAGAGAGAGAGAGAGAGAGAGAGAGAGAGAGAGAGAGAGAGAGAAAGAGAGAGGGAGAGAGAGAGAGAGAGGATGGGGGTAGAGGTACGAAGGGACGGAGAGAGAGAGAGGGTGGAGGTACGGAGAGAGGGGGAGAGAGAGACACACACACAGACAGACAGACAGATAGACAGAGGGAGAGATGAAGAGAGAGAGAGAGACGTCGTCTACACACATTTATGTCGTAGTGTTCGTGTCCCCTGTTTAACTGTATATAGTTTTCCACAAAAGATACCCTTTCTGTCTTGTCTCCTGAGGTCTGCTGATTAACATTTTGTACTAGTCTGTAATAGCAATGTGTGATCTATCGAGCGATCGCCACTTTCATCTTCGATCCTAACTACATCAAATGACACCGTTGGCACTGTCGCCAGACAAAGGTAAGATGGATACAATCAAATCCATGTAGACTGATATAAAATGGAAGTATGCTGGTGACTAAAGCTCAGGCATCCTCGCAACAGATACATTGGGTACTACGGGAGACATGTCCCTATTGATCGGGCGCACTTGGCTAGCAGTGTGCTGAGGCAGGCAGCCAGTCCGGTAATGGCGATAAGCTGCAACACAACGAAAACGAAAATTTGCTTTCGATATTGGAAATATTTATTGTGCCTTTGATGATCTGTGGATGCGAACGAAAACAGACAGGCTTATTGTCACTACCATTTCATGTTTCTATGGTGACCATTTACGGGGGTCATGTGGATGTGTGTTCGTCTGCACGGTGCTTGTGTTGTGCCTTGAGGGTACTTTGGTGGGGACAAAATATGTTTGAGAATCTGGACACATGAACCTTGAAAATGGCTGTTACCTCCATAGACTTGCATCTCGAAGGAGACAACCAGGTGTACATCTCCGGCCAAAGAGTTAAAGGATCGCTTGTTCTACATATAGGCTTACCCGTTATCATAGCAGGTAAGGAGTCAGATGATGGCGTGTCGGGCTTTCAATCGTGTGTTTAATGCTAATGGTTGTGTAGTTTGATATTATTGACATATTTTGCCATAATTAAATAGAGAGGGTAAGGTGGGAAAATACACTGGATTGATACATTATATCCAAACCGTGTGCAAACCTGTTAATCAATACCTAAGAATGAAATCTATACACTGTGATAAGGTCTATCAATCATATTAAAATACGGAAATAGCAATTCTTCTTCGTACAGGTGGGCAGTATGATACAGAGGTTGATCCGAAAGTACACGGCGTCATGAAGGTTTTACTGTATGGTACAGGTTAGGTTTTAAGCATATATGGAAATATACTAGGCTGTATGAATGAGGATGGGCGTGGCTGCAGTCTCGTGTATGATAACACGTGAGCAGTATGAAGCAGGTGTGGTACATGATGGGCCAGTGTATCTAACGCATGTTTTCTTTGTCAGAACATGTACTACCGTCACACACGCTCGATCATCACACAGTCAGCATCACTGATTACCTAGAATGTGTGGTATCTTCTCACTGATTATAAACGAAGAAAATTAATATTAATCCGACAGCCGTATAAAACTGAAGCGATAATGAATACATAAACTAGGCGTGCGTATGTTTTCTCCAGAATGACTCCGCTGTCGGACTCAGCTTTGGTCATCTCCCACATCTACAATAGCAATTGATCAAGGTAGCGAACAAGCGTATCCATATACTATGTATGTAGCGGTCAATAACTAGGTCGTTAAACCTAGTTGGTTATGAAAGGGGATTTTCCTAGATATGTTGCCACGTATGAATGACAGGAAACTGTAGCAGCCTTCCCAGCCTTACAGACAGAGCACGAACAAACAGCCAACAACCTCCAGCAGATATGAAAATTGCTAATCATATTTAGAATCTTGCCGTATTACCAAATAAAATTGTTTATTAGAGAGCCATGGGAATAGAAATTGTGTCCACGAAGGACAAATATACTGTTGTAGGGATATTATTGTATTACGTGTTAGGATTTTACCACAATGGACCTTGTAAAATTGTTCAGGTGTGGCCAGCCAGACAGAATTAATTATTGTAGGAATAGACGTATTTTCGTGTTCGAGTCTTCAAGGAATATATGTTTTTTTCTTTGTTTTTGTTTTTGTTTTGTTTTGTTTAGTTTTTGTGATAGTTTTGTTTGTTTGCTTTAGTAGCGTTCAAGACACGCGTATATTTTACTAAAGTGTTGTTTCACTCATGACGGAAGAAAATGAAAATGAACGAGTAATGTTGTAACGATTTATTGATGGCCCTGTAAATAACGTTCCTTTGTATAGTGGTGTGTCTGTACTTATATGTCAGTGATGACAGGGACGGGGTTCGTCTATTCTTGGTTTAACGTCCTCACAACAGCAAGGGTCAAACGAGGTCAGGCGCAAAGGGAGACAGAAACAGACAGGGTCATATGAGGATGGATGTCCAGTAGCACACCAACAGCCAGGGTCATGTGAGCACAGGCTTGAAGGGAGTCACCAACAGCCAGGGTGATGTGAGGACGGGTGTGTAGGGAGTCGCCGACAGCCAAGGTCATGTGAGGACGGGTGTGTAGGGAGTCGCCAACAGCCAGGGTGATGTGAGGACTGGTGTGTATGGAGTCGCCAACAGCCAGGGTCATGTGAGCACAGGCGTGAAGGGAGTCGCCAACAGCCAGGGTCATGTGAGCACAGGCGTGAAGGGAGTCGCCAACAGCCAGGGTCATGTGAGCACAGGCGTGAAGGGAGTCGCCAACAGCAAGGGTCATGTGAGCACAGGCGTGAAGGGAGTCACCAACAGCCAGGGTCATGTGAGCACAGGCGTGAAGGGAGTCGCCAACAGCCAGGGTCATGTGAGGACGGATGTGTAGGGAGTCGCCAACAGCCAGGGTCATGTGAACAGCCAAGGTCATGTGAGGACAGGTGTGTAGGGAGTCGCCAACAGCCAGGGTCATGTGAGGACGGGTGTGTAGGGAGTCGCCAACAGCCAGGGTGATGTGAGGACGGGTGTGCAGGGAGTCGCCAACAGCCAGGGTCATGTGAGGACGGGTGTGTAGGGAGTCGCCAACAGCCAAGGTCATGTGAGGACAGGTGTGTAGGGAGTCGCCAACAGCCAGGGTCATGTGAGGACGGGTGTGTAGGGAGTCGCCAACAGCCAGGGTCATATGAGGATGGATGTGAAGGGAGTTGCCAACAGAGAGGGTCATGTGAGGACGGGTGTATAGGGAGTCGTCAACAGCCAGGGTCATGTGAGGACGGGTGTGTAGGGAGTCGCTAACAGCCAGGGTCATGTGAGGACGGGTGTGTAGTGAGTCGCCAACAGCAAGGGTGATGTGAGGACGGGTGTGTAGGGAGTCGCCAACAGCCAGGCTCATGTGAGCACGGGCGTGAAGGGAGTCGCCAACAGCAAGGGTCATGTGAGCACAGGCGTGAAGGAAGTCACCAACAGCCAGGGTCATGTGAGCACAGGTGTGAAGGGAGTCGCCAACAGCCAGGGTCATGTGAGGACGGATGTGTAGGGAGTCGCCAACAGCCAGGGTCATGTGAACAGCCAGGGTCATGTGAGGACAGGTGTGTAGGGAGTCGCCAACACCCAGGGTCATGTGAGGACGGGTGTGTAGGGAGTCGCCAACAGCCAGGGTGATGTGAGGACGGGTGTGCAGGGAGTCGCCAACAGCCAGGGTCATGTGAGGACGGGTGTGTAGGGAGTCGCTAACAGCCAGGGTCATGTGAGGACGGGTGTGTAGGGAGTCGCCAACAGCCAAGGTCATGTGAGGACAGGTGTGTAGGGAATCGCCAACAGCCAGGGTCATGTGAGGACGGGTGTGTAGGGAGTTGCCAACAGCCAGGTCATGTGAGGACGTGTGTGTAGGGAGTCGCCAACAGCCAGGGTCATATGAGGATGGATGTGAAGGGAGTTGCCAACAGAGAGGGTCATGTAGGGAGTCGTCAACAGCCAGGGTCATGTGAGGACGGGTGTGTAGGGAGTCGCCAACAGCCAGGCTCATGTGAGCACGGGCGTGAAGGGAGTCGCCGACAGCAAGGGTCATGTGAGCACAGGCGTGAAGGAAGTCACCAACAGCCAGGGTCATGTGAGCACAGGCGTGAAGGGAGTCGCCAACAGCCAGGGTCATGTGAGGACGGATGTGTAGGGAGTCGCCAACAGCCAGGGTCATGTGAACAGCCAGGGTCATGTGAGGACAGGTGTGTAGGGAGTCGCCAACACCCAGGGTCATGTGAGGACGGGTGTGTAGGTAGTCGCCAACAGCCAGGGTCATGTGAGGACAGGCGTGTACGGATTCTCCAACAGCCAGGGTCATGTGAGGACGGGTGTGTAGGGAGTCGCCAACAGCCAAGGTCATGTGAACAGCCAGGGTCATGTGAGGACGGGTGTATAGGGAGTCGCCAACAGCCAGGGTCATGTGAGGACAGGCGTGTAGGGAAACAAAGAGCAGCAAGGGTCATATCAGAATGAATGTTTAGTGCGACACAAACAGCCATGACTGCGGGTGTGTAGGGAGACACAAACAGCTATGACTGCGGGTGTGTAGTGAGAAACAAACAGCTACGACTGCGTGTGTGTAGGGAGACACAAACAGATATGACTGCGGGCGTGTAGGGAGACACAAACAGCTACGACTGCTGGTGTGTAGGGAGACACAAACAGCTACGACTGCGTGTGTGTAGGGAGACACAAACAGATATGACTGCTGGTGTGTAGGGAGACACAAACAGCTACGACTGCGGGTGTGTAGGGAGACACAAACAGCCATGACTGCTGGTGTGTAGGGAGACACAAACAGCTATGACTGCGGGTGTGTAGTGAGAAACAAACAGCTATGACTGCGTGTGTGTAGGGAGACACAAACAGCTATGACTGCGGGTGTGTAGGGAGACACAAACAATACAAACAATAGCACGTGGTGATGTCCATATTCTGTACATATAAACTATGTCACGTGATGACGTTAGTGTTTTGTGCTGTAAATATATAAACAATAGCACGTGGTGATGTCCATATTCTGTACATATAAACTATGTCACGTGATGACGTTAGTGTTTTGTGCTGTAAATTTATAAACAATAGCACGTGGTGATGTCCATATTCTGTACATATAAACTATGTCACGTGATGACGTTAGTGTTTTGTGCTGTAAATTTATAAACAATAGCACGTGGTGATGTCCATATTCTGTACATATAAACTATGTCACGTGATGACGTTAGTGTTTTGTGCTGTAAATATATAAACAATAGCACGTGGTGATGTCCATATTCTGTACATATAAACTATGTCACGTGATGACGTTAGTGTTTTGTGCTTTAAATATATAAACAATAGCACGTGGTAATGTCTATAGTCTGTACTTATGAACTATGTCACGTGTTGACGTAAGTGTTTTGTGCTGTAAATATATAAACAATAGCACGTGGTAATGTCTATAGTCTGTACATATAAACTATGTCACGTGATGACGTAAGTGTTTTGTGCTGTAAATATATAAACAATAGCACGTGGTAATGTCTATAGTCTGTACATATAAACTATGTCACGTGATGACGTTATATAGAAAGTTTATCTTTTTGTACAGGAGGTTTTCGACTTTAACATCAACTAGTAGCTGAATTGATTTGTGTATTCATTTCTGACGTACATGTAACAGTGGATTGAATAACACATCTGTTTTATTGTGTAAAACTTTTTATAATGTTTTTGTAAAAATGTAAATTTCAAGAAATGTTTGCATGTTGTTGGTTTTTTGTCGCGTGAACAGTCTGTGTCATTACGAAGCAGGATCTCCTCCCAGTAGCCAGGAAAAGCCCATGACAGCTTCAGTGGTATATCGTTTGTAAAAAACACAAAATAGCGTTGGTAGGCATTAAAACACACGCTTTCGATTTTCATTATAGAACTGCCGTTGGTGAAGATCAAACCACACTTCTCGAACCTTTATCCGCGTTATAAATAAGTCCGATGCTCTGCCGGATAAGTTGTTATTCATAGCAACTAATGACGCTTCTCATTTATTATGACCGCGAACCAAATCCGGGTTAGTTTATCGCCAATATAACCAAATGTAGTATTGTTTATATGGTGTAACACAGCCATGTCTATTGTCAGTTATAACCAAGTGTAGTGTTGTTTATATGGTGTAACACAGCCCTGTCTATTGTCAGTTATAACCAAGTGTAGTGTTATTTATAAAGTATAACACAGCCCTGTCTGTTGTCAGTTATAACCAAGTATTATGTAGTGTAGTGTAACACAGCCCAGTCTGTTGTCAGTCATAACCAAGTGTAGTGTTGTTTATATAGTGTAACACAGCCCTGTCTATTGTCAGTTATAACCAAGTGTTATGTAGTGTAGTGTAACACAGGCATGTCTATTGTCAGTTATAACCAAGTGTAGTGTTGTTTATATGGTGTAACACAGCCCTGTCTATTGTCAGTTATAACCAAGTGTAGTGTTATTTATAAAGTATAACACAGCCCTGTCTGTTGTCAGTTATAACCAAGTATTATGTAGTGTAGTGTAACACAGCCCAGTCTGTTGTCAGTCATAACCAAGTGTAGTGTTGTTTATATAGTGTAACACAGCCCAGTCTGTTGTCAGTTATAACCAAGTGTTATGTAGTGTAGTGTAACACAGCCCAGTCTGTTGTCAGTTATAACCAAGTGTTATGTTGTTTATACAGTATAACACATCCCTGTCTGTTGTCAGTTATAACCAAGTGTTAGTCTGTTGTCAGTAGTGTTGTTTATATAGTGTAACACAGCCCAGTCTGTTGTCAGTTATAACCAAGTGTAGTGTTGTTTATATAGTGTAACACAGCCCAGACTGTTGTCAGTTATAACCAAGTGTTATGTAGTTCTGTTTATATAGTGTAACACAGCCCAGTCTGTCGTCAGTTATAACCAAGTGTAGTGTTATTTATAAAGTATAACACAGCCCTGTCTGTTGTCAGTTATAACCTGTTGTCAGTTATAACCAAGTGTTATGTAGTGTAGTGTAACACAGCCCAGTCTGTTGTCAGTTATAACCAAATGTAGTGTTGTTTATATAGTGTAACACAGCCCAGACTGTTGTCAGTTATAACCAAGTGTTATGTTGTTTATACAGTATAACACATCCCTGTCTGTTGTCAGTTATAACCAAGTGTTAGGTAGTTTTGTTTATATAGTGTAACACAGCCCAGTCTGTTGTCAGATATAACCAATGGTAGTGTTGTTTATATAGTGTAACACAGCCCAGACTGTTGTCAGTTATAACCAAGTGTTATGTAGTGTTGTTTATATAGTGTAACACAGCCCAGTCTGTTGTCAGATATAACCAATGGTAGTGTTGTTTATATAGTGTAACACAGCTCAGACTGTTGTCAGTTATAACCAAGTGTTATGTAGTGTTGTTTTTATAGTGTAACACAGCCCAGTCTGTTGTCAGTTATAACCAAGTGTTACGTAGTGTTGTTTATATAGTGTAACACAGCCCAGTCTGTTGTCAGTTATAACCAAGTGTAGTGTTGTTTATATAGTGTAACACAGTCCAGTCTGTTGTCAGTTATAACCAAGTGTTATGTAGTGTTGTTTATACAGTGTAACACAGCCCAGTCTGTTGTCAGTTATAATCAAGTGTTATGTAGTGTTGTTTATATAGTGTAACACAGCCCAGTCTGTTGTCAGTTATAACCAAGTGTAGTGTTGTTTATATAGTGTAACACAGTCCAGTCTGTTGTCAGTTATAACCAAGTGTTATGTAGTGTTGTTTATACAGTGTAACACAGCCCAGTCTGTTGTCAGTTATAATCAAGTGTTATGTAGTGTTGTTTATTCAATGTAACACGGCCTAGTCTGTTGTCAGTTATAACCAAGTGTAGTGTTGTTTATATAGTGTAACACAGCCCAGACTGTTGTCATTTATAACCAAGTGTTATGTATTGTAGTGTAACACGGCCTAGTCTGTTGTCAGTTACAACCAAGTGTAGTGTTGTTTATATAGTGTAACACAGCCCAGTCTGGTGTCAGTTATAACCAAGTGTTATGTAGTGTTGTTTATACAGTGTAACACAGCCCACTCTGTTGTCAGTTATAACCAAGTGTTATGTAGTTTTGTGTAACACAGCCCAGTCTGTTGTCAGTTATAACCAAGTGTTATGTAGTGTTGTTTATATAGTGTAACACAGCCCAGTCTGTTGTCAGTTATAACCAAGTGTAGTGTTGTTTATACAGTGTAACACAGCCCAGTCTGTTGTCATTGATATCCTGGTGTTATGTTGTTTATACAGTGTAACACAGCCCAGTCTGTTGTCATTGATATCCTGGTGTTATGTTGTTTATACAGTGTAACACAGTCCAGTCTGTAGTCAGTTATAACCAAGTGTTATGTAGTGTAGTGTAACACAGCCCAGTCTGTTGTCAGTTATAACCAAGTGTTATGTAGTGTTGTTTATATAGTGTAACACAGCCCAGTCTGTTGTCAGTTATAACCAAGTGTTATGTAGTGTTGTTTATACAGTGTAACACAGGCCAGTCTGTTGTCATTAATATCTTAGTGTTATGTTGTTTAGTGTTATATATAGTATCACAACAGAACAGAAAACGATACAAAATATGGTGTGATAAACACGACGTTAATTTGTTGTGACATGGTGTTTGTGGAAAGATGTAGTAGAGAAAAATAATATCCCTCAGTGAACAGACTTCCAATCAATAATGTAAGGAAAACTACACGAAATGACGTCATTTTGATCTGTACAGCACCACAGCTGCCACTGTGATTTGTAATAGTTTTAATGTGTCGTTATACTAGACATACAGGTCCAACCATCAACGACAGCTTATTAATTAGTCAGGTGATCTAACTGAGGACACCAGTGAGATTATCACCAATGTATCTAACACAGTGACGGTTTAGTGATAATATCTGTAATATATTTTGTTCATTCAGCCTTCTCCACGGATTAACCTTCAGGGGCGACTTCTATATAGTTCCATCCCACTCAAATATCCAAGCATAGACACGTTATCACAGTCATTCTAACCAAGTAACAACATCTTTATGTCGTCTCATCTGTCAAGCAATACGTACCAGTTTTAAAGGCAACCTATAACCTTCTTTCGGCTCAGCAAAAACGGGTATTTACCAAGTAAGCTTCCAGGAAATATCCAGGAAAACGAGACGATGCAGATGATCTGTAGAAACCACATTATCTAATGTTACTAGTTGTTACCTGTGTGTATCGAGAAGCTCGAGATATTTGATTTGACTTCGATACTATATAAAAAAAATTACCGAACGTGATTTAGGCAACTCTAAACACTTGTCAAAAAGGAGTTGGTAGGGTTATGACAGCAAGACTTGCTATGCACGCGATTGCTCAGCTCCACTGCCTTAAATACCGTCTTTCCAGCCATTTCTATGTTTTCTTATGTCGTAGTTGGTGTTGTCTCACAGGTCAAGGTTTGCAGAGAGATTGATAGCAAGCCTATATTCTTTTATTAACCTGCTTTAGTAGTGTTAAGTTATACTAACCATCACATTAGGACATGGATTGTTCTGTTGTCAGGCGTCGAGGTCCGTTTCCGTGGAGCCGCACGTGCGAAGTGGAGTGAGACTGTCCAGAGTGGTACTCATCGTACCGATATAGAACACGAGAAAGAAGAGATCTACTTCGACGACAGGTTTTGTCTCTGGGGAAAAGGTAAGCATGGCTTCTGTAAAGTTTTGTCAATTAGAAACAAAACACCTTTGTGATCATGACTGTTATCCCCAGAGAAAAGAAATCAATATTAAGTGCATTCTATAATCACAATTACAACATCACACAAAGCCAGCTGTATTAAAACTACAATTCGCTACAAGAGTTTGTGAGAAGTAGCTAATACCATAATACGCATTAAGACAACGAACTTCTGTTCTCAGCAAATTGTTCATCCGAATACGCTGGCTAATGCATATTTGAACAATACTGAATTAGTAGATGGTGGATTGGAACCTTTGTGGTGCAGACGTCTGCTCAAGCTCGATGATATGATAAAACAATTACAGGTGTTGACTACCAAACAGGGTGATTGAAGACATACGTACTCGTCTGACCCCACCAACCTAGCTCCCATGCTATGTACAATACACCATGAAACAGGGATCTATATCTCGAATAAAATTCTTTCATTGCTGTAAATGTTCTATAACCACCCGCGTTTATGTGTCTGACAGCGTCTGTTAATAGAACCCTTCCGTTTCAATGCTCAAGCGATCTAGAATATTGTGAGACGTTTTATTCTTTTTAACCAATACCATTTGACGTCAGAGCAAACCCTGCAGAACATCACTTCTGTTTGTCCGTGCGTGAAATTCCAAACATCAAGAGTTCTTCCTGCTGGCTGATGCCAAACTTGTGATTGCGACAACGGCAAACATTATATGCTAAATCTCCTTATTTCTTCAGATGGTTAAGAAAATTCTCTTGTGAACCTTTCTATATAAATATGGTAAGTACTGCTCAGTGACAATTATGTTCAAAAGGAGAAGCCGGTCGAAGGAGGTTTCAACGTTAATACAAGTATATAGGTTCAGTTGTACATTGTTAAACGTCCTATATGGTCTTTTGAGGACCACCTCGCTGTGTGTGGATTGAGTGTATGTGTTCAGTCCTATATGGTCTTTTGAGAAGGGTAGCCTTTTGGAAAAATTCAGAAGAGCTTGTGGACCACGTACAACGGATTATTGGAAAAGATTAACAAAAGGCACAATTTAAGACTTAGATACAGTTGAGACAAATAAGAAAGTAAACTATATCATGTTTCGTCCTACTAGGACCCGACAGTGATGCTTTAACCCTTTTTCAATATAAAAAAAGAAACGTTGAAAAGATGGTTCTCATCTTAAATGTGGAACAGTCAAATTTCAGGACCAACTAAGCCCATAATGCCCTACGGCTGCATTTGTAAAGATGTATCCCGGCATCCTCGTCAGTTCGGGACAAGTGTCCTCGTATTGTGTATGTGTGTATTTATAGATGTCATGTGCCAGTGTAACGATCAATTACAATAAGAATGATTGATTGGGATGTTTCAATCACGTCAGAGATAAGAGAGCACCTGGGAGGATTCGATCACACATACCTGTGTAATTCAACGTAGCTTGTGTCAATTTAATCAATGCATCCGTGACGTATTTAGTGGTAACTACACAGTATTATCGATTCACCAGACAGGAAGTGCGTTACAACTCTTGTCACGTTCAATTCAAAGTGTCTGTTTGTATGGGGTTTCTCTTCCTCGCAAACGTCAAGGTCACAAAACCTGTCGAAACAGCTTAGTTCTAAAACCTGAACACCATAGCATGTCTCTCTGTCACATTACACTGACAAGGGATACATGACTCTGTCACATTACACTGACAAGGGATACATGTCTCTCTGTCACATTACACTGACAAGGGATACATGACTCTGTCACATTACACTGACAAGGGATACATGTCTCTCTGCCACATTACACTGACAAGGGACACATGACTCTGTCACATTACACTGACAAGGGATACATGTCTCTCTGCCACATTACACTGACAAGGGATACATGACTCTCTGTCACATTACACTGACAAGGGATACATGTCTCTCTGCCACATTACACTGACAAGGGATACATGTCTCTCTGTCACATTACACTGACAAGGGATACATGTCTCTCTGTCACATTACACTGACAAGGGATACATGACTCTGTCACATTACACTGACAAGGGATACATGTCTCTCTGTCACATTACACTGACAAGGGATACATGTCTCTCTGTCACATTACACTGACAAGGGATACATGTCTCTCTGCCACATTACACTGACAAGGGATACATGTCTCTCTGTCACATTACACTGACAAGGGATACATGTCTCTCTGTCACATTACACTGACAAGGGATACATGTCTCTCTGTCACATTACACTGACAAGGGATACATGTCTCTCTGTCACATTACACTGACAAGGGATACATGACTCTGTCACATTACACTGACAAGGGATACATGTCTCTCTGTCACATTACACTGACAAGGGATACATGTCTCTCTGTCACATTACACTGACAAGGGATACATGTCTCTCTGTCACATTACACTGACAAGGGATACATGTCTCTCTGTCACATTACACTGACAAGGGATACATGTCTCTCTGTCACATTACACTGACAAGGGATACATGTCTCTCTGTCACATTACACTGACAATGTATACATGACTCTCTGTCACATTACACTGACAAGGGATACATGACTCTGTCACATTACACTGACAAGGGATACATGTCTCTCTGTCACATTACACTGACAAGGGATACATGACTCTGTCACATTACACTGACAAGGGATACATGTCTCTCTGTCACATTACACTGACAAGGGATACATGTCTCTCTGTCACATTACACTGACAAGGGATACATGACTCTGTCACATTACACTGACACATTACACTGACAAATACATGTCTCTCTGTCACATACACTGACATTACAAGGGATACATGACTCTTGTCACATTACACTGACAAGGGATACATGTTTCTCTGTCACATTACACTGACAAGGGATACATGACTCTGTGTCACATTACATTGACAAGGGATACATGTCTCTCTGTCACATTACATTGACAAGGGATACATGTTTCTCTGTCACATTACACTGACAAGGGATACATGACTCTGTGTCACATTACATTGACAAGGGATACATGTCTCTCTGTCACATTACACTGACAAGGGATACATGTCTCTCTGTCACATTACACTGACAAGGGATACATGTCTCTCTGTCACATTACACTGACAAGGGATACATGTCTCTCTGTCACATTACACTGACAAGGGATACATGTCTCTCTGTCACATTACACTGACAAGGGATACATGTCTCTCTGTCACATTACACTGACAAGGGATACATGTCTCTCTGTCACATTACACTGACAAGGGATACATGACTCTCTGTCACATTACACTGACAAGGGATACATGTCTCTCTGTCACATTACACTGACAAGGGATACATGTCTCTCTGTCACATTACACTGACAAGGGATACATGTCTCTCTGTCACATTACACTGACAAGGGATACATGTCTCTCTGTCACATTACACTGACAAGGGATATATGTCTCTCTGCCCACATAACACTGAAAAGGGATACATGTCTCTCTGTCTCTCTGTCACATTACACTGACAAGGGATACATGTCTCTCTGTCACATTACACTGACAAGGGATACACTCTGTCACATTACACTGACAAGGTCTCTCTGCCACATACATGATACTCTCTCTGTCACATTACATTACACTGACAAGGGATACATGTCTCTCTGTCACATTACACTGACAAGGGATACATGTCTCTCTGTCACATTACACTGACAAGGGATACATGACTCTGTCACATTACACTGACAAGGGATACATGACTCTGTCACATTACACTGACAAAGGATACATAACTCTGTCACATTACACTGACAAGGGATACATGACTCTGTCACATTACACTGACAATGTATACATGACTCTGTCACATTACACTGACAAGGGATACATGTCTCTCTGTCACATTACACTGACAAGGGATACATGTCTCTCTGTCACATTACACTGACAATGTATACATGACTCTCTGTCACATTACACTGACAAGGGATACATGACTCTGTCACATTACACTGACAAGGGATACATGACTCTGTCACATTACACTGACAAGGGATACATGACTCTGTCACATTACACTGACAAGGGATACATGTCTCTCTGTCACATTACACTGACAAGGGATACATGTCTCTCTGGCACATTACACTGACAAGGGACTGACAAGGGATACATGTCTCTCTGTCACATTACACTGACAAGGGATACATGTCTCTCTGTCACATTACACTGACAAGGGATACATGTCTCTCCGTCACGTTACAGCCTGAATAAAGACATCATGGCCTTGTGCTATATCTGTACACATCCAAACCTTGTTACAAATAAAAACATAGCTTCCTCTTTCATATTGATGATTACATATGACAGGTGATAAATAACGTTCCTGACACTAGTTTTTGTCTTGTGCTCCAGAATCTCTTAACATATCGAGGTAATATTAGGTCAATTTTACGATGTCTTGATATATTTTCAAATTATTCCATTCTCATTGAAAATATTTAAAAAATTTCTTTCGATGATTTGAATTATAAAATAGAAAGTGAAATAATTTTCCACGATTTTTCCGCTCGGAAGTCACTTGAAACATACACATAATTACGTACGGACGCTAAGATTAGTAATTCCTGCAAACCACTGTGATGATAACCTGACAGATATCTACTGTGGATATCTACAAAACATGTCAGAGTGATATCCCCTTACTTTATTTCTGTTAATGTTTTACTCAAATTTGCAGTGACAATTAGAAGAAATGACATATTGACTCCTGGTGTGATGGCTAACAAAGTAAATCATTTTAACTGTTATATCGAAATCGTTTGAAACAAACTAATGTCGTTTATTTTGTTTCAGTCAACGCTCAAAGTAGATGGGAAGGCAGAGAGGTGTTACAGAGAGGTCGCCACATGTTTCCGTTCCAGTACAAGGTACCAGAGGGCGTGCCATGTTCATTTGAGGGACCGGATGCCCACGTGCGTTACAATGTCCAAGGAATTATCATCCGATACAATGGGGAATGCATATCGACACAGCGTATCATTAATGTCCTGCGGGATTACGATCCGAAAAAGGAGCCGTGTGATTTATCTGCGAACTCGGTAAGCATCTTCCATTTATCTCAGCGCTTCTTTTAATTCAGCTCATCAAAATCAGTATTACAGCCGGAATTATAAGAAAAATATATTGATCATGTTCACCGCATATACCCACTGGAATGAGAACTCGAGGACACCACAGACTTTACCTCATCTGTCGCCTACTCCGATCTTTTCCTACAACGAAATAAAACGACAGGGGTTCACTAAACTCTATGATAACCATGATGATTTCAATTTCTATATCGTAAAGTTTCCAGTCTTTAAGTATCAACAGTTTTGCTTCAGCAACATGTCACGACTGATTCGATTTTCAAATATTTGTTTCCAATACTATGAACCACGTACAAACACATCAACTCAAAGCATAATGGTTCGGAAGAAATTATGAAAGTGTTAAGGTAATTGAGTATTTGTTATGTTTAGATATCGTTAGCTTAATTAGTTGTACGGCTGGCGGGTGTCGGCGCTGAGGCAGAAGATATCTCCTTGTACTTTGTTGGGATCTCCTTGTACCTTGTTGGGATCTCCTTGTACCATTTTGGGATATCCTTGTAAATATTTCTATTGTTTGTGGTTTTAGCAAAACTTGAGTTCGAATTCAGATTCGAATGACATGTCGGTATTTTCTTTTTCTTTTTTCTTTATCATGTTTATATCCTTGCAATAGTTAAGGTAAATGTGCCTGGTTGTTTGAGTCACTGAAGGGCGCTTCATTGAACCTTCCAGGGGAAGGTCAACATTTGCTTGTATCTATGATTTCCGCGGTAGTAGTTAAAAATGTAATACTCCTAACAAATAGATTGCTATAATAACTCCATCTATATTGATATCAATTACAAGAGGATAGTTGTTATCGTCAATTAAACCATTATGTAAGATATGTTACATAATATGCTAACTCAGATGACTTTTTACATGCTGTTATTGACCTATGTAATGATGGTTGTATTACATTAATGTACCATGCACTTCTCATGTTCACATCAAATGTTCTATGACAAATATTTAAGTGTTCGTCCGTATCTTGACTGACATTTGTTCTGAATTTCGTCCACAGACACAACATCCGCTAGAAGACCACTCGGAACGGTCAGTCCATACCTTCTGTTGCCGACCTGGACGAGTGTCGTGTTCAATTTCGCTACCTAAACGTGCCTACGTGCCCGGGGAGATCCTACGGGCGGAAATCACTGTACACAATCTGTCCATCCGCAAGTCGGGCGCTGTCAGCCTTCAACTGAAACAGGTGGGTATGGCCTCCTCAGGTACTCTCACTTCCTCCGTCAAGCATTCCGTCATCTCTCTACAGCCTCTCGTGTTTCATAACCGCCTACCCGTTGCTACATCCCTCTCGCCCACAAGGACGACTTGTGAAAGCCTAAACATGCTGTACTGTGTTAATACGTGGGAGTAGGATCGATACAAAGACATCTACTCACGATTGTACAATGGGCGAATTCTCTAGTTTCCTCTTTAAATGTGATTACATCATTTTTTTTATCAATCGACTGGTAGAATTATTGTCTAAATTAGTAAAGACATTACTAAACAACACCGCACACGTTTATCGTGATAATCCCACAGAACGGGGAAATCCTGCCTATCTTTTATGTCTGAACATCCTATCTAATTATACATCTTTCGCTCGATTAGAATTAATTTCCCAATGTCTTCTTTTTTAGAAATCCAAAAGTTATCCTTCTGTATGCAATCATAGTAGGCGACCAATGTGTTCGTTACTGGCACACATTGACAACACAAATATAATACTACTGACCCTATTGTAACACTTATGGGAGGCGACCAATGTGTTCTTTGCTGGCAGACATTGACAACACAAATACATTACTACTGACCCTATTGTAACACTTATTTGGACACAAGATAGACACTTGTTGCACTTGAAATGACGTCACTTGTCCGGTCTGTGGATGTGACAGGTTAACCCGGCTGTCTCCAATCAGAGACCAAAAGCGAGATGTTATAGTCGCCAAATTCAGTCATGCAATGGAGGCAGGAGTCATCATTCCTTCGCCACACATTAAAAGAATAGAAGAAAGAATGAAAGACATATTTAGAATTTATGAGTCATTTGATGTCGATATATTTAAATTCAAATGTTGTTCAATAAAATCTGATTTTTTTACTTATAGATTATTTCCTATGGCGGGGTACACACACGGACCATGCTTTTGAAGGATCTCAAGGTGTGCGACAGCTTGAGGCCGGGGCAGCACCGTCACTGGCGGGAATACCCGCTGCGGGTACCCTCACTTTGTCCTTCTCGACTACATATGTGCAAGGTGCTTGACCTTCGGTACTGCGTGGCGGTAAGTCCAGTCGAGGTAGTGACATTTTTAATCAATCACGATATTTAAATAGAATTATTATAGATATACTTAAACGTACGTTTTGTCCTCGTGGATGACTCCTATTGGGTATGAAGAGAACTAGGGGAGGACGATTTCGAGGTAAAGCGGTTTACCATGTTGTCCCTGATTTATTTTAGTTGTCTTTGACGTTTTGCCTTCGAGACGTTAATTACACAAACAATGCCTGATTAGATTTCACAGTTTCCGACTTCGGCTCGCTGGTATCTTTACACCCAAACGAAAATTCATCACAAGATTGCAATGTGTTGTTACACATTGACACATAACCTTCTAACACGGAAGTTTTCTCTGATTGGCAGCAAACTCAGGAAATTACCATGCCATCATTACGGTATAATGTCACAGCACGCATTATGATATTATTCACTAACAATGTGATCTATGTCACCTACGATATTTTTATAAGTGACGTCATGTAAAACGTCATTGTAGTTGAAAATCTCGTGCAGTAACAGCGGAAGTACCTTCAGAAGTGTCTGTTGACAGTTTCGTTCTTGTCATCATTGACTAATTATTATCTAACGAGTGCAGCAAGATAATTGATTCTCTGAAGTCGTCGAATCCTTATATTTCTCTCACGGCGGAGAGTGGATGTTAAAAATAACTTCATTGATTTTCGTCCTGTGATATTTTGAGCCTGTCTTTGATATATTTTTGCTCAGTTTTACGATGCGTCTTAATACCATTTTCGTTATGTATTTGAACTGATTTAATCGAATCTTGATTTTCTAAATAGTATTATATGTAGTTTTCTTCTATATATAGAAACGTAGGAGTGGTTCCATTTATTGCACTAAAACAGAGAGACACTGCATTGCTATTGTCTCTGCTAGTTCTTAGTTCTTCCGTTGTGAACAGTTGCCACAGCCAGAGAAACATCCATATAGGCACTTTGTCTTCAAAAATAGTATGTTGTTATTCCTGCTGGTTTTTTTTATCTGAAGATATTTTCTGAAGCAGCTAGCCTGTGTTGTACTTGTATGACATTTGTAAGCAGCAGCTAGCCTGTGTGGTGCTTGTATGACATTTGTTAGCAGCAGCTAGCCTGTTCGGTGCTTGAATGGCATTTGTTTGCAGCAGCTAGCCTGTGCGGTGCTGGTATGACATTTGTAAGCAGCAGCTAGCCTGTGCGGTGCTGGTATGACATTTGTAAGCAGCAGCTAGCCTGTGCGGTGCTGGTATGACATTTGTAAGCAGCAGCTAGCCTGTTCGGTGCTTGTATCGCATTTGTTTGCAGCAGCTAGCCTGTGCGGTTCTTGTATGATATTTGTAAGAAGCAGCTAGCCTGTGTGGTGCCTGTATGACATTTGTTAGCAGCAGCTAGCCTGTGTGGTGCCTGTATGACATTTGTTAGCAGCAGCTAGCCTGTGTGGTGCCTGTATGACATTTGTAAGCAGCAGCTAGCCTGTGTGGTGCCTGTATGACATTTGTTAGCAGCAGCTAGCCTGTGTGGTGCCTGTATGACATTTGTTAGCAGCAGCTAGCCTGTGTGGTGCCTGTATGACATTTGTTTGCAGCAGCTAGCCTGTGCGGTTCTTGTATGATATTTGTAAGAAGCAGCTAGCCTGTGTGGTGCCTGTATGACATTTGTTAGCAGCAGCTAGCCTGTGTGGTGCCTGTATGACATTTGTTAGCAGCAGCTAGCCTGTGTGGTGCCTGTATGACATTTGTTAGCAGCAGCTAGCCTGTGTGGTGCCTGTATGACATTTGTAAGCAGCAGCTAGCCTGTTCGGTTCTTGTATGATATTTGTTCCCAGTTCATCTTCCATTCTTTTTGCTTTTTGTTTTTGTTTTCTCCTCAAACAGCTTTCGGTTAATATCAATAGGTCAGGGCAGACTTTGACTTTCGTCATGTTATCGGTCAAATTGCGATACTGCTGAAGTTTACCTTAAAAGCTTTGATACATTTGAATATCTAATGGAGACTACTGATTCAATGCTTGGAATTGTTTATAAACTAACGTGTTTCAAACTGCTTGTTATCAATCATCAAGCTAGATTTGCCAGTCTAGATATAAGCTACCTATTGAAATGAATGTTTTCATTTTGGTTTGGATATATAAAGCAGGGTTTATCAGACTTTCGGTGTAGCTATACAGATCATATTGACGAGCGTTGTCTTCGCACAAAAGAAAATCATTACTTGGTGTAAATGTTCAATTCCTCATTTTGTACTCTCCTGATTACCCTACAATCATCCAAATCTCGTCTTATCATCGTGATTAAAATTTATCTTAATCCACAACCTATCATTAAGATATAACTATGAAGTGTGATCTGTTTCCTTGTGCGATAGGAAGGCTTGTTCGCAATTGGGAACGCCACTCTATTTACTTGCATAGACCAAATTTACCTTGCAGTTGGTTGTTGTCGATGAAGCAGAAGACGCTTACCCTTTCTCAACACGTGGTCTTATTCTCCTTGTTCTTTTCAGAATTATAAATATATATAAATTATAAATGTCCTAGTTTCATCGGATTTGAGTTTGAATTTCGATGTCGATGGTCATGTCTGAGTGACGAATCAAGATATAGATCTAGTTTATCGCGAAAACATCCAATCGTTTGTAAGATGTGTGCCACGTCCGTAAAACATCCAATCGTCTGTAAGATGTGTGCCACGTCCGTAAAACATCCAATCGTCTGTAAGATGTGTGCCACGTCCGTAAAACATCCAATCGTCTGTAAGATGTGTGCCACGTCCGTAAAACATCCAATCGTCTGTAAGATGTGTGCCACGTCCGTAAAACATCCAATCGTCTGTAAGATGTGTGCCACGTCCGTAAAACATCCAATCGTCTGTAAGATGTGTGCCACGTCCGTAAAACATCCAATCGTCTGTAAGATGTGTGCCACGTCCGTAAAACATCCAATCGTCTGTAAGATGTGTGCCACGTCCGTAAAACATCCAATCGTCTGTAAGATGTGTGCCACGTCCGTAAAACATCCAATCGTCTGTAAGATGTGTGCCACGTCCGTAAAACATCCAATCGTCTGTAAGATGTGTGCCACGTCCGTAAAACATCCAATCGTCTGTAAGATGTGTGCCACGTCCGTAAAACATCCAGTCGTCTGTAAGATGTGTGCCACGTCCGTAAAACATCCAATCGTCTGTAAGATGTGTGCCACGTCCGTAAAACATCCAATCGTCTGTAAGATGTGTGCCACGTCCGTAAAACATCCAATCGTCTGTAAGATGTGTGCCACGTCCGTAAAACATCCAATCGTCTGTAAGATGTGTGCCACGTCCGTAAAACATCCAATCGTCTGTAAGATGTGTGCCACGTCCGTAAAACATCCAGTCGTCTGTAAGATGTGTGCCACGTCCGTAAAACATCCAACCGTCTGTAAGATGTGTGCCACGTCCGTAAAACATCCAATCGTCTGTAAGATGTGTGCCACGTCCGTAAAACATCCAACCGTCTGTAAGATGTGTGCCACGTCCGTAAAACATCCAATCGTCTGTAAGATGTGTGCCACGTCCGTAAAACATCCAATCGTCTGTAAGATGTGTGCCACGTCCGTAAAACATCCAACCGTCTGTAAGATGTGTGCCACGTCCGTAAAACATCCAATCGTCTTTAAGATGTGTGCCACGTCCGTAAAACATCCAACCGTCTGTAAGATGTATGCCACGTCCGTAAAACATCCAACCGTCAGTAAGATGTGTGCCACGTCCGTAAAACATCCAATCGTCTGTAAGATGTGTGCCACGTCCGTAAAACATCTAATCGTCTGTAAGATGTGTGCCACGTCCGTAAAACATCCAATCGTCTGTAAGATGTGTGCCACGTCCGTAAAACATCCAACCGTCAGTAAGATGTGTGCCACGTCCGTAAAACATCCAATCGTCTGTAAGATGTGTGCCACGTCCGTAAAACATCTAATCGTCTGTAAGATGTGTGCCACGTCCGTAAAACATCCAGTCGTCTGTAAGATGTGTGCCACGTCCGTAAAACATCCAATCGTCTGTAAGATGTGTGCCACGTCCGTAAAACATCTAATCGTCTGTAAGATGTGTGCCACGTCCGTAAAACATCCAATCGTCTTTAAGATGTGTGCCACGTCCGTAAAACATCCAACCGTCTGTAAGATGTGTGCCACGTCCGTAAAACATCCAATCGTCTGTAAGATGTGTGCCACGTCCGTAAAACATCCAGTCGTCTGTAAGATGTGTGCGACGTCCGAACAAAATATGGTGTTACTCAGTTGATACTCCTCTCAAATCACACCAGGATACAACAATAGCACAAAGATGGACTGTAAATTGTGACATAATTGTTTCAGTAGATGTTCCATTGTATTCGGATTATATCCCATATGTATACTGTTATAACATAAGTACAAAGTATGTACGTCTCATTTGGACTATAAATGTTCGTAGTTACATCATAAAGGCGATACCATATAGGATTCGATAATCACATTAGATATATACTCAAGTACAAAGTATGATGTCATATCGGTGTTTCAGTAAGTATAACATACCAACATGTTTCAATATTTATCCTTTATGGCACTAAAACGTATTTCTCTTTATGTCTAATAACTGTTTGGCGACACTACACACCAATGCGTCATGTCCTGATGTCTTTGTAGGTGGAGGCCAGTTTTGCCGACACGGTGCTATACGCTGCTGTGCCAGTTACCATAGCGACGGTACCAGATAACGACTTCGAGTGTACTAAATGGTCATATAAATGTGAGTTGTCATCAGAAGGTAGCGGGGGAGAACAATTTCTGTATATTGGTTTTATAGGATTTTGTCGACACGCCATGTAAGTGACATGTTCCTCCACCAAGGTCAGAGGTTAAATCACGTATGGCGCTGTGTTGGCGCAGTTATTGCAATCCAGTAGATCGATTGAATTTGTCGAGTGAAAAAAGTCATTAGGCGTGAAAAATGTACGTGAAACAAGGAAACGATGTATGTAGGAAATGAAAAATTCTGTAATCTTGATGTAAAATATGAGGACTGCACTGCAGTGAAAATGATACAAATTACTAGAAATTAATTTAATTTCTTAGAAATATCCCAACTATGTTTGTGTAATTTATAATAAGGAGAAACCAAATAACATGTAATTCCAAAGAATGTCGACTGTTAAATAACAATAATACATCGATAACATATTGACTTGAAGAGGTCTAAAACATTCAGGGATTTTTTTTAATTTAATGCACCCGTTTTATAAGCACAGGAGATCTCATGGAAATCTTAGGGGTAGGGGACAGTTTAAGCAGCTCCTTAAGGAACGGTCGTAAAACCGGAGCCTGTGATTATGACAAAGAATGTAAAATGATAATACCCAAATCATAGTAATGCTTGTCTGCTCCTTATAAATTGTCATGTGTATATATAACAATCTATTATCTTCTATCCTCCTTCTGATGGATGAGCATGATGCGATTTCATATTTGGATGCACAATAAGCGATATGTCAAGCTTACTGAGAAGTCTTATTCATTTCTCATTTGTCCATAAACAATCTTAATCAATAACTGCATTGGCGATGCGAAAGAATTTAACTTCTGAATAAAGGAAAGGACTATTTGTGAAACAATGTATTTACATATATAATCCTCAACGTTATCGTTTCTATTTACTTCACTCATGTTTAGATGTTTGGGCTAAATCGTTTTTCCTGTGTCTAACTGCTGAATACCCTATTGGCCTCACGCCGACACTTCTAAAATGTTTTTTATGCAATACAAACTGTCTTCATCTTGTGTTGGTATTGTATTCTTCTACAATCCTACTGGAGTAACTGTGTACTTCTGTCGTCAATGTTTTGATATAAGATAAAGTTTCTATGGTGACGAGATTGAAACATATATATGACAGTAAGGTAACACTGTAAATAAACTTTAAATAAACACATACATGTAATTAATTGGACCTTTACATTTAACAGTTGTTTGTTTGTGAGTTCCATCATTTCTATTTCCACCTTGACAGATGGTGCGCCACCTCTGATGACCGATGACGCCGTTACAGATTGCTATATATATGGTTGTACACGTGCGGAGTCTGAAGAGGAGGAATTCAAACCAAAATATAAATATTTTGAAGATTTAAGGGACATACGAAGAGAAAAAGACGTACTTTTGAAATTGCGCCAAAGTCCAGGAACAAAACGTAGGAAAGACAAAGACAAAAGTAAAGGAGAGACAAGCAGACCGTGTGTTAAATTAAAAACTGATGAGGTAACGTCAACCTCGCAAGCTTAGCACGTGAGTCGTATACATCAGCACGTCATTACATTATATGTAATATACGTACGTACGACAGTGACATCAACCAGGAATCTTGAACCATGTATATTATAAAGGAGAAAAGCCAAAAATATTCAATGTGGTGCTGGGGGATGCAGTGGTGTCATCAAAACTGGAGTATATTATCAAATGGGTGGCTGCTCGGACGATGCGACGTTGTTGTCAGTCCTGAAATAAGCTATTCATGTGATAAAATAATACCAGCCGGTTTTGGTACATGCATCACGGATTGCGTCACTAAATATACATCTTGCGTCACATAAATTCTGAATTATCGTCAGGGGTTGGAAATACAAAACTTGTCCTTGTACTTTATCATGGAAGTGGCTGTTTATATCAATAATGATTATGATTTTAGCATATGATACGATATATTTCATTAACGTGGTGTTGTGACGTCGTAAGCGTTTGCATGACGTCATCATATGGTCAGACAACAAGTATACTCTCGTATATATAATGTGACGATTCATTTCGATCCGGCAGGTTCAGGGTTGAAGCCATTCGTGGATGTGACGTCATAATGTGTATCGTTGATCGGTACGTAGTTTAGCGAGTTCCTGTATTTTGTGTAATGTTTATTGATACTAATCGCCAGAAGCTGCATGTTCAAGTTTGATATTGATCAGGGTCGGCGAATATCTCTGAAATCCTGATGACCGAGAGGAAAACAAGTTCGATGTATCCTTTTTTTTTCTTTTTCAAAAAACCAAAAAAAAAAAAAAAAAACCCAAAGTCCATCAAGACCAAAGCCACAAGTTACACATTTTGAAAACAATACTGGAAATATATTCATTAACCTCAACAAATATAATTATTTCACGATATTGTTTTTCTTTATTTCATTTACAAAATCATACAATACTATTTTTACATATCCTCTTGACTTCTGCTAAGGTTTATATATAACCTATGTAGGATATTGTCAGCGTTTTCCCCTATGATAGGAGATCAGCTGTTAAAAACCATATTGTTGTCTATCATTGATACATTTTGTCATAATTTTACCTTATATACGTTCTTTATGTCCTGTCCTTTGTCATAGGTAACGGACTAGTCATATATCTATTGTGTTTGATGACGTGTAAATATTGAAAGAAGGCGACTTTTATTCTGTTGAAACCAACGTAGAACAAGGACGTAGAGCATTTTTAATATTCAAAACCGTTATAGTTATCTATACTTTTAAACCATGAAGAACTTAAATGACTATAACACAGAATATTGAACATTTATTAGGACTTGAATATTGACCTTTCAGCAGATAACAGATTAATTAAACTATATAATTTTGTACATTATCATTTACATCAAGACAAACATTTTTAAGTAAGTTATTTTGAGCTATAGTATTCCATGTGCTCCTTATATGGAGATATACGATGTGTACATAGGATATAGGGACTCCTGCCATCCGAGTTTTATTATAGAAACGAATTGCAGAGCGTGCGTATTAACACTTCGTTGTTTTATGTAGCTGCAAAAATCGTTTTGGAAGATATCTGATAATGCCAGCCATTTGTCTCGAACCAGTTATGTCGATGATTCAAAACGTAGGTTAATCACACAGATAAACACCATATCATTCAACACAGCTTATATTACATTCCTCGTTAAGACTGTCACCAATATGACGTATATAAGACCTACTTACTCTTCCCTGGAATGATGATTGCGTTAGAACAGTTATCTCCCCTCGTATTGTTGTTACACAATGTTTCGTCTTTCTCGTTGAACATTGTTGACTTTCCACTTAATACAACAAAATAGTCCCTTAACTGTAAGATATAATATATTTATATACATTACTGATATACAGAATACAATATTTTAAAAGATTTTTGTATATCATAATGTAATTACTAGATTTAAGTGAAACACAAATACTTTGTCATACATATAATCAAAGAAACTGAAAATTTGATACAAAAGCTCATAACTTAACACTGATGGATTTCCATGCGAGTGGAAGGCATGCATAAGATGTTTGCATTAACCTCCTACCCAAAAGTAGGTCGTGACATGAGTCTTAACAATATGTTGTTAAAACAATAAACCTCACAAAAACACATTACTTGAAGAATCAGAAAGGTTTATGTACATGTTCCTTGTTTTAATTGCATCGTTAGCTCATTTCCATTGTAAAGTCAAATATATATATATATATAGTTTTTAAAAAGAATGCTTTCCATGGTTTGGTAATGCATTTTCTTTACCAAAGCAAAGTTGGAAATTGTGACGAAGGACAAAACAATCAATAAGTCTACATTAGTATATATTGATATTCCATATAATAATAGGATCATTGATAGGTTTTATAATTTTACGTGTCTACACATTCCTCTGAAGGTTTGGATCGATGTTCAATGCTCAACAGGTTCATCCTATTGTCATTAAATCATAACTATACACAAGGCTTATTGATTTTCTTTTTCTTTATATTCTGACGGGTACAAACTGTTCGTTTATGTAATGATGACGAGTGTGCGATCATCTCATTTCTTGTCGAGGTAGTCAGGTAAAAACCTTGTCTTCCTGTTCCTAACATTAAGAATTATTCATTATGTCCTTTGATAAAGCCAAAAAAAAAAAAAAAACATACATGTCGCCAAAACGCTTTTAAGACAGTCTTCAGCATACACGTGCATTATCTGTGTCCCCTGTCAAATAATAAGTATTAGAAAAGTAATATCTGATCCGGTTCAACAGTTTAAGTTATGCTTGTATAAAACGCAATGTATTCAGTATATACCAAAATCTGGCATCGTAATAGATTTCTTAAATGACCAAGAAGAGGTAGATCGTTTGACACAATTACACGAAAGTTATCAATGTAAGAATTAAGACATTAACAATTTGCTACACTTTTATTAGGAAGATTGATGTAAAGCAATGTTCATCCTGTTAATTAGAAAACAGAGCATAATAGAAGGAATACATGTATACACAATGTAGTTAATTAATACCTAGCGGATATTAGTAACCTGGGATAGCTCATAAAGGCTACACGCTTGTATCTGGTCTTTAATTAAATTACAGCATTAATGGGTCTAATCACTATACGCGTAGTTTAGTTATAAAGATTGATTTAAGAATTTTATCTAGGTATTCAAAATATACAATGAAATGCCATCAACATCATGATTTTAAATCTTTAATTTTTACCATCCACAACTACATCCAAAAGCACCGGAACAAAATTGAGCGAACGAGTGTTATGTTAAACACATAAACCAGGCACTGGTATGTAACAATATTACGGTCCGCATTGATCTACATTCCTATATATATATCTAACCATGTATGTCGCCGTTCTTGCCAAAAGGACAGACAGCCACCTTGGAGTAGTGATCCATGGCTCAAGTCTGTCTGAGTAATCATGACAAACTCGTGTTCTATTGTCAAATGTCGTATTGTGATTAAATCTCAACGAAAATACACCGTTTATATATATAAAGTTATATGTATCAACATGAACTTGTTGTTTGGTTAATTTTTTCATCTCTTCACATGACAAGGTTGTTTAAGTGTCCAAACCATGTAACAGTCCTATCGATGTTAATCGAACGTTAAAGAAGATGAAACGAAATCAAATGTTCCACCATACCGTAATTACAACATTATTCTGCTTTAAAACCCCTGCTGTTTACTGAAATTTGAAAATAATGAAATTAAATGATTGGACTAGTGCAACTCGCCCTGTAGATTTTGACATATTCTGGATCAATTTGATTCCTGCCGTCGCCTCTTACGTCCAACAATTTAGGTGAGTAACTTGTTTTGCTGGACGATCTTTAGTTCGTGTTTCTTTGGATCGATCCACTAAATTTGGTACGATTTACCAAAGACAATTTTACTTATTTTGTCGGAAGATCCCTTAATTTGTCTCTTTGGTACGATTTACCAAAGACAATTTTACTTATTTTGTCGGAAGATCCCTTAATTTGTCTCTTTGGTACGATTTACCAAAGACAATTTTACTTATTTTGTAGGAAGATCCCTTAATTTGTCTTTTTGGTACGATTTACCAAAGACAATTTTACTTATTTTGTCGGAAGATCCCTTAATTTGTCTCTTTGGTACGATTTACCAAAGACAATTTTACTTATTTTGTAGGAAGATCCCTTAATTTGTCTTTTTGGTACGATTTACCAAAGACAATTTTACTTATTTTGTCGGAAGATCCCTTAATTTGTCTCTTTGGTACGATCCACCAAAGACAATTTTACCTATTTTGTCGGAAGATCCCTTAATTTGTCTCTTTGGTACGATTTACCAAAGACAATTTTACTTATTTTGTCGGAAGATCCCTTAATTTGTCTCTTTGGTACGATTTACCAAAGACAATTTTACTTATTTTGTCGGAAGATCCCTTAATTTGTCTCTTTGGTACGATCCACCAAAGACAATTTTACCTATTTTGTCGGAAGATCCCTTAATTTGTCTCTTTGGTACGATTTACCAAAGACAATTTTACTTATTTTGTCGGAAGATCCCTTAATTTGTCTCTTTGGTACGATCCACCAAAGACAATTTTACCTATTTTGTCGGAAGATCCCTTAATTTGTCTTTTTGGTACGATTTACCAAAGACAATATTACTTATTTTGTCGGAAGATCCCTTAATTTGTCTCTTTGGTACGATTTACCAAAGACAATTTTACTTATTTTGTCGGGAGATCCCTTAATTTGTCTCTTTGGTACGATCCACCAAAGACAATTTTACTTATTTTGTCGGAAGATTCCTTAATTTGCGCTTCTTTATTCATTCAATGAGAAATTACGATCCTTTGTCTTCATATATGTCTATTGTTGGGCGGGAATAACTTTTATAAAAATATAATTGGTTTTCATGTAATTCATTACTTGGCATTAATATATACAATTCTTAATTTGTACGAGGAAGTTTTCGTACAATCTTTTCTATTAATTCTACAATTATATTGCAGTATATTT